CCCACAGTGATACAGGATGGTTCATGTGCTTGGAATGAAAGGATGCCACACCATTTGATAGAAATAGAAATAATCATCCGACAGAGGGCTGAATTCAGAAACACCCCAAAAAATGTTGTGGCAAATGAGTCCATTTTGGCCCCCAAGTGCTTGTATGCATGCTTGACAAAGTCGGTGCATGCCCCTAATGAGATGATGATGGCTTCCAGGGTGGATCTCTTCTCAGATCTGTACAACCTGAGGTGCAACCTGGTAGCGTCAGATGGACTGAAACATGATGTCTCACAGGTGTTCTGTTGGATTTAGATCAGGTGAGTGTTGGGGTCAATCAATGGTATCAGTTCCATCCTCCAGGAACTAACTCTGTTCACGAGGTTGGGAATTGTGGCATGCCAGGAGGAACCAAACCAGACATGATGAACAATGTTACAGCATAACGTTCTCCATGCTCAGTCTGATTCTGCTCTCGTCTGTGAAAAGCACAGGGCACCAGAGATGGTCAACTCTGGTATTCTATGGCAAATGCCAATCAGGCTTCACTGTACCAGGCAGTGAACACAGAGCCCACAAGAGGACATCAGGCCCTCAGGCCGCGCTCATGAAGTTTGTTTCGGATTGTCTTGACAAAGACATTCACTTCACTGGCCTGCTGGAGGTCATTTTGTAGCTCTGGTAGTTCTCATCCTGTTCCTCCTTACACAAAGAAACAGTTATGGTCCTGCTGATGGGTTAAGGCCCTATTCAGCTTCTAGAATAACTGCCTGTCCCCTGGAATCTCCTCCATGCTCTTAGACTCAGCAAATATTCTGGCAATGGCACATATTGATGTGCCATCCTGGAGAAGGCGGATTGCCTGTGCAACCTCTGTAGGGTCCAGGTATCGGCTGATGATATCAGTAGTCACACCGACCCTAGTCAAATGCAAAACTAGTGAACAAACAGTCAGAAAAAACAAAGAGGGAAAAATGTCAGTGGTCTGTTTAGGACACTGTCTCATTGTTGCTCCTCTAGTGCACCTGTTGTTAATTTCATTAACACTAAAGCAGGTGAAACTGATTAACACCTTCCTCTGATCAATATGCCAGAGGTTTTAATGATATCAGCTGCTTATTTGACTCAGAAAATATACAGGGCAAAGCCACACCCGGCCTCAGGCCACAGTGTTTGTTGCCCTCATGTGATTTTTATGTATATAGCAAGGGAGGAACTCAAATCTTGGCTCCCTTATGAACAAATGAAAAACATATGAATATATGATTTAGCCTATTTGAATATTTGACAAGATTCAAAAACTTACAGTGAGGATCCTGTGCCTGTTGTCATAAAAGGAAGCTACAGTAGTCATTGTTATGCCAATATCAATGTTTATCTATCAATATATTATTTATTTTTTAAAACTAATTTCTATTTTCGCCATTTCTATGTTTCACTTTTGGAAAAAGGGAAGGGCAAGCTGCTTATTGAGCTCAGGCAAAGGTAATCACATGCTTGCAGTAATCATTCAGATTACAGGAAATCCGCTGAGGTGTTACATAACTTCACCTGTCTACGCCTATGTGCTCAGAGCAATTAAAAGGTATGTACACAGATCGTCGTGCACGAGTTTTCTGTTATCAAGTTTTAAAATATGTGGAAACCCGGGCATTTCGTCACTTGCTGGTGATATCAGATATGAAACTGTTACAGGGAAGTGTGAACTGTGACCCTGTTCCTATACACGTATACACATTTCCGACCTGACTGTATAGTTATGTGAGGTGGAGCCCTTTAAAAGAGAAAGGACAGCGGCATTTACAGTTTCCTTCCCTGAATGAACACCTCTCTCCTCTCAGAGTGCACTGGTAAGTTAAAATGCTTGTGTGTGTTTGTTGTAGCCTGATTTCAGTGTGATAACACGCAATGATAACTGTGTAGACTGAATATTATCAAACAGATCTGTAAATGACATCTGAAAATTTTATAAATCAGCTACCTGAACATAAACTGTTTTTTTTTTATTGCAGTGCTGTTTAATTCAAAATGTTTCTTTTGCCAGTTTTTGAAAATTCCTAATTGAACAACATAGATTTGGCTTATTTGTTGTGTGAAATGTAAGAACAATCCAGTCTCTTATGTAAGAGTTCTAATGCTCTGATTTGCCCTGATAGAAATAATCAATAATTGTTCTATTACATAAATTAAGTGCTTATCAGGACTTTTTTATGTGTTCATGACATGGATCAAAGGTCAGTATCACGCAGCACCTGACTAAAGTCACGCTGCATTTCATATCAATGACAAAAACAAGCAGCAGTTTGTACAAGACAAAATGTTACATACACCCACACACACACGTATATTATATATATGTCTTTCTTTGCTTGCCTTCTTTGCAGATTGACCAGAATGGCCCCTGAAACACTGGAAAGGGTCCACAGCAGCATTTCTTCAGACCCTTCAAAGCAAAACTGAACTTCAGGCAAAAGCACATCTGCCTGCAACACAGACGGATACTTCAAGTTTCAAGTGACAACACGATGCTTCAGCCAGACATTCGGTACACCAAAGTGCGATGGCTATTAACCATCGCTGGAGTCTTCCTGTATGTCGGGGACATTTGGACAGACATTGTACTGGCTGTGAAATATTTTCAAGAGGAACAATACGTCTGGACTGGGTTCACCGTGATGTTTATTCTGATCGGGCTACTGGTTACTCAGATCTTCAGCTATGCCTGGTACTGGGATGACTTGAATGACCCTCTCTTAAACCCTGAAGGAAAAAGAGAAATATCAGACATGTCAAAACCTGGGCTTGTTGTCCTGCATGCATTTGGATTTGGCATCTTTACCAGGTATGCCATTAAAATTACAGCTTTCATGAGACCACAGTAGCCGAAGTAGGATATGACCTTTGAGTTTAACACCTGCAAATTAACTTGAGGTTGCTTGCTGTACCTACAAAAAGGAGTGCCTGCATGTTGTGAGTCAAAACGTGCTTTATGATAATCACGCACATTGACAAAGTGGTATTTAATAAACTGGAATGCCCGCATTCAAGCTGTGTTCAACTTGTTGTATGGCATTAAGATAAAAGCCTTACAAATGAATCACCGTCTATGCAGCAATAGCACGCTATGCAATAACACGTGCACTGCAGGGTGGCAGCTTGTTTGTTTTCATTGTGTTTGCCTTGTCTCTAGGTATTACCACCTGCTGAAAGAGGGTTTCCAAGTGGTTTGGACGAAATCAAATGGCGATGGGGTGGATAAGCTGAGGGAAGTTCACAAGAAGCTGTTTTGCGTGGCCACCGATCTGAGCATGCTCAAGCTCTTTGAGACTTTCCTGGAGAGTGCCCCCCAGCTCCTTTTACAGCTTTACATATTACTGGGCCACAACGAGGTCTCAGTCATGCAGTGTAAGTAGAGACAAAAGATACTCTACACATGTGTGCGAACTTGAAGAATCACTACTTACACTGCCTGTTCTTGTCTTTCAGGTCTATCTGTGGCCTTCTCCTTCTGTAACATTGCATGGTCACTGGTGGACTATCGCCGCTGCCTGCGGAGATCTCTCCCCTATATCAGAGAAATGCCCTCTGGCCTCCCCACAGCAATCTACCTCCTCTACAAAATTTGTACCATCACCAGCCTCATTCTCAGCTACAGCCTCCTTCTCATACTGAGTATCTACACCACAGTAGCGCTCACTGTCCTCTGGCTGCTGGCAACAATATGGACACACTTGCTTGAAACCAAATTCTGCTCAAGCAGAAGCCTGGAGTTTCTCTACAGGGCAGTTGCAGGAGTCATCCTGACATTCACATTTTTTAATGTGAAAGGACAAGACACAAAAGTAGCCATGACCACCTACTACATTTTCTGCACCGTTATTAACATTATGTCGCCGTCGTTGATGGCTTTGTTGAAGCCGGAGCTGCAAACAAGCACATTGCTGCTGACAATCAGTGGTTTAATCTGTGGATGCTCAGTGCTGGGACTGGTGTGCCTCATTTTGTACTACGTCCACCTGCATCCCAGAAGGGTGCAGCGCGAAGAGGATGAGGTGGACGACCCGGGAAAGGAAACAAAGTCACTTGCAAGAATCAAGAACTTCTTGAAACCTTAATGAAGAATTTCTTTTTCAAATTAGTGTAAAAGGGTTCAAAAAGACACGCACAGGTTCAACCGGCCTAACGATTTCACACGGAGACAAAATAAAGGAGCTTTTAGAGGTTTTGAAGGTACCATTTGCACTATTGGTGGCTAACTAGACAATAATATATGTGGTTGAATGTCTATTTTATTTTTTCTTTACCTATTTATTCTTACAATGTGCAATAAAGTAGGTAATCTGCAAATATTAATGAAAGCAGAATTATCTCTTGATGTTTTCACATGACTTTTAAATCTGAGAAGAAACTGAAAGACAAGATTAATAAAATAAAGGATTTCCCCCAAGTGTGTGTAGTATAATATACCAGTGATGAGAGCAACATAAATACATTGTTGTGCTTCTTAAAGGCTTGTTTGTCAGTGCATCACCCCACCCATATTAGCATTTCTACCCTTAGCAGCTTGGTGAAGCACCAACCAAAGCGCTGTGCAGTGTAACATTTGTATATCCAAATCTTGCAAGTGGACCTGTAGTGCATATGCTCAACACAGGATGGCGCCATTATCTAGGCTGTGAGCTCAATGGTGGCGTGAGCAACAGTAACAAAGCCACCAAAGTTGTTCTTTTAGTAAGAAAGCATGAAAGATTACTTAAAGATGGGGTCAAGTCATTTTTAATCCCTCTAATGTTTTCTCCTTAACATTTTCCATAATCTTTAAAATTATACTGTAGTTGATTTTTTAGGATTCCTAAGTATACTATTTAAGCCTTTAACCTATATATCATTGCCTTATATCGCTTGTTTTTGCCGAAAAGTAAAAAAAAAAAAAAAAAAGTTCAGCTGATCAAGTACAGGATCACACACAAAACAGGAAAGCTGGACAGTCGAGATGCTCACCAAGAGTTGAAGAGTGGATCATCTACCACTTCAGTAATGTCACTGAACTTGAATATTACTGTAAATGTAGCTCCCAGAAGGATCCTCAGCATCCTAATACTCAGAAACTGAAAGGTGGCAACTAAACATCCCCCCTCCCCTCCTGAGAAGTAGTGAAGACAGGGGGTCATGGATGAGCTAACCAGAAATAACAAACCACTGCTAATTTTGTTTTGACTACCAGCAAAATATTGTATGAGTCAAGCCGGAGAGAGCTGCGGACGCTGTTTCTTCCTGGCTTGGGCAGAAAAGGAGGGGAGGGGAGGGTGGCCCAGTGTGAGCTCACCTGGGAGGAACGCTGACAAACCGCAGGGTCCAGAGAGCACGATGGTTGTTGGCTCTCAAATAAGCGCAGCACGTCCCCCTCCACCCCCACCCTCACCCCTGGCCTTCCTTTAATTTAGCCAAACTCTGAGCTTTCTGACTTGTTTACTCCAAGAGGCCACTTTAACTTTCATCTGTCGGTTGTGCCGTGTCAGAAGCACTCCATAAAATGACAAATTTAAGTGAGCAACTTTTGTTGGAGAGGAAATGAATCCCTGCCAGGTAGTGCACAGAATTTTACTGTGGAACCTCATCGGACACACTCCAACTCCACGGCGTGCATTTGATTTGTGCGTATTTAGAGAACACAAAGGTGATTAGATATAGTTCAAAAAGACAGAAATGTATGTGTAGATTGTCCGTGATGCTGATTTTTAACAACTTTCCTTTGGGTATTAGCACCTGCAGGGAGGACTCTCAACCAAAATCACATCAACCTTTGCATTTAAGATGATGAATGCGCACCTCTCTGCCCTCTACTGTATATTTCCTCGGGCTCAGTGAACTAATGCAATGTAAATCTGCCAGAGGGATTTTTATTGGGAGAAGACACATGTGTCTTGTGCTGGAGTCCTAAGCAGTCTATCTCTCTGTGGTCTTTGTCGAACTACATATGGCGGTGACTCACCACTGATAGCACTGCCAGGGAACAGTCGCAAGCCATTGGGATAAAATGTGTTGAGTAAAGCATTACCTCCCTGTCTCCAGGAGAAAACAAGCAGAGAGAACGCTGGCGTTGACAGCCTCACAGTAATTTCCACTTCTGGCACTGAGAGCTTAATACCCAGTAATCTCTAACTCCGATCTCGTTGAAATGCGCCTCCAGAAAATGCTGGAGCGCTCGGTGAGAATCTGAGAAACTAGACCCAGATCAAAGATGAATCTTCAGAGCACCACAGGTCTCCATTTTGCCAAGTAAAGGCCTGATCTTGCGGTGCTATCGAACACTTGCACAACACGGCAGCAGTACCAACCCAAAGGCATGCAATCACCCACTGTCACCGCCTCAGCACCGGCTCTGATTTGTCTGATTTGAATGGCACTCCATGTCTACGTAAACAGTCTTGACCGCTGACCTTTCCATAACCACCGCTAAACTTTTCACCAAATCTTATCTTTTTGTTTTCCATCACTACATCCTGGAACAGCCGGTCAGAGTTGGAGAAACGAGGGGGGGGATTCCTGGCATACACCATCCCCACAATTTGTACAGACACAATAAACCCGGGAAGGCAGGCTGTTTTTCATTAGGGCTTCAAAGTCCATATAAACCATGATTAATGAAGCCCTAAGATGCTGTATGTCTTTAATTATTATGGCTTGACTGCTACACCAGTGCCTCAGATGCATTAGCAGTGTTGGCGATCTGTACACGTCTGCCTGGCTC